TCGTAATTTCCGTCTGATGCTGGTCGCCGAAAATAGTAGCTCGCCGTTTCATCTACAGCCACGTAAGCGGAGTCTAACAAAAACGACGATCTTGCCTCGCCCTCTGCAGTTCTCCTGCCTAAGCTGCAAGCTTCTTGGCTCAGCTTAATGAAAACATGCGGCTACCCATTGTAATTCATCGGTGCGAAGCCGGTTTATTTAGTAATTACATTAATTTTGAAAAAATTTGACTGCACGAAGCGGGGCCGTTCCCCTGCACCCCCAGTATCCACGCCCGCAAACCACGCGCCATTTTTCACTACATCAAGGCCGTTGATCTTACCTACAAAATTTGATGACTTTTTAAAAACCAGTAAAAATGAGCCACGTCATGGAGTGCAGTTGTTACTATCGCCAGCCTTTACCACCTAATACCAACTTTCTTCTCTGAACTAAATTGGAACCTCCCGGCGTTATAAATGCACCATCAGACCCGCCTAAACTGTCTCACTCTTTTTTTCTGGCTCGTCGCCGTTTTCCCTTTCCGGTTTATTTGCCTTTTTCTTCCCTCTGAAGTTAGTTTTATTTTCTATCTTTGTCATGTCAACGGCGGCCGAGATGGAGCCATTGACGTCGGGAGCAAGCAATCGCATTATCCCGATCCTGAGAACCCTCAGGGCGCCGCTGATTTTCCTCCAATCTTTAATTCTGTATCTCGTTCTGTTCCTCTTTCCTCTGCGCCGCCGCCGCCGCTCTCGACAGATAATTCCGGAGGCGGCTACTTCACCTCAGTCGCCGATGAAAAATTTTAGGCGAAGGTCGGTTTGGAGGCGTGATGAGGAGGATACTTTGAGAAGGAGAGCTCTAGCTGAGGATTTGGATATGGGGTTCGAAACCGGGGACGGGGAAATCCGATGCCGTTGGAGCACCTCTCTCTTCTTTGGCGTTCGAAGGAATGCTTTATTTTGCCGGTCGTGGTTTCCTGTTACCGGCGAATTGAAGTAAGGACTCTTTTATATCGACTCACAGTTCGTATCCTTTAAAACTAAGCAAAGCAATTGAATTGAGTTTGGATTTGGGGAAAGTTTGAGGAAGACATTTTGTGTAATTTTTCATTTTTTTTGTAATCTCAGGGGTATTTTGATTATCATACATGGGTTGAATGAGCACAGGTAATGTATTTTTTGGCTCTTTTTTTTTTTTTCTTTAATCTGGGCATGATATTATTGTTTTGTGGTGTTTATTTCAGTGGAAGGTATGCTCAATTTGCAAGGCAACTAAACTCATGTAACTTTGGTGTATATGCCATGGATTGGATAGGTACAGCATTTGGCATGAATGTATTTTCTTTCCCTTTGAAAATCGCCAACTCAAAATTTTAAGTTAAAATTAAAATCTTGCTAATGATAAGTTATGCATTCTTGCTGTAGGTCACGGTGGAAGTGATGGATTGCATGGATATGTACCTTCACTTGACCACGTTGTCGCTGATACTGTAAGCTCTGCTTTTGGTTTCTGTACCTCTTGATCCTGCATTTGATTCAGCTCTTTCAAGTACCATGCAACATAAGCATGTTGGTCCAACCTAAATCATTGAAATTTGGCTCACCATTTTGTACACTGATTAGTCAAAAGTGGTTATGATTTTAGGTGTTCAGAACTATTAGAAGTTTAGCACCAGCAAGTTTATGTTAAATTCTATTTCTCCAGGGGGCGTTTTTGGAAAAGATCAGATCAGAAAATCCAGATGTACCTTGTTTTCTTTTTGGCCACTCTACTGGTGGAGCTGTGGTTTTAAAGGTATTGCATAAGTTTACTGAATTAGTTACTGAATGATTAATGGCTTTTGATTAAACATCGTGCAACTTTGCTGCTTTGCATAGGCTGCTACCTATCCTCATATTGAAGAAATGCTTGAGGGAATTGTGCTAACATCACCTGCTTTGCGTGTTAAGCCAGTACATCCTATTGTTGGGGTAAGCTGCAGCTGCTTTGGTTTTATGACATTCTAAAGCTGTACTGTGATCTGTATTTCTGTGATTGCTCTCTTGATCTCAACATTAAGCAGTGGCCTTTTTCTCTTGATCGGCTTACCATCAGCCTGTTATATTGATTGGGAATTGGTGTTTTAGTTACCCACTGAAATGGATTTGACAGATTGCTTTCTTTCTTAATTCTAATATTTTCCATGATGTCTTTATGCAGGCTGTGGCTCCCATTTTTTCTCTGGTTGTTCCCCGGTTCCAGTTTAAAGGTGCAAACAGGAGGGGAATTCCAGTTTCAAGGGATCCAGTGGCAATGTTAGCCAAGTACTCAGATCCATTGGTCTATACAGGACCCATAAGGGTCCGAACAGGGCATGAGATATTACGAATTTCATCATACTTAATGCGGAATTTTAAGTCTGTGACAGTCCCTTTCCTTGTTCTCCATGGAACTGCAGACAAAGTCACAGATCCACTAGCCTCCCAGGATCTCTACAATGAGGCAGCCTCTAAGTTCAAGGACATAAAGCTCTACGAAGGCTTCCTGCACGACCTCCTCTTTGAGCCAGAAAGAGAAGAGATTGCTCAGGACATAATTGACTGGATGGAGAAGAGGTTAGGTGCCAGAGCTGAAAACTCAAATGCTCTATGATAAATTGGCTTCAGGACAGATCAAATGTTTTTCATTTAGGTCAATTTCACTGATTTGGAAGGGCGTACTGAAGTGTGTTTTTTTCATCTTGGGAGCTCAATTCATCCCACATGTAAGTTTAGGGAGAGGGCTTTTCAGTGAAATTTGTAAATATGAATTGACACCAGAGATGTGAAATGGCTGTGTTCAAAATATCATCCTTTTTGTCATTTTGCTGAATAAGATTTATTTTCTGTGGATATGAACATTTGGAGATATTTCTCTTGAATTTTTTCTAGTAAATGCTGTAAATAAATAGATTTGTTTCAAAAGAAAAAAAGAAAATCTTAATTTGGACAAAAGACCAGAAAGGGAAAACCCATTCTTAATGTAAGAAAAATCTCTCTATTAGCTAAAGAATTATTCATTCAATCTCTTAAATAAGGTAATAATTAATCGTTTCAAAAGTTGGGACTGAATTTATTTTCATTTTGGTTTTGGAGGTTATTAAGTCAAATCAAATTGCACTTGGCCTTTGAGGCCTAGTGGCAACAGCTATCCCGATGCATTCCTCGTTCCGCGGGCTGGGTTCGAAACCCGCCCTTGCAACTATGTTAAAAAAAAAAAGTCAAATCAAATTACACAATTTTCTAACCATTTTTTGTTTTCCTCCTAACCCAAACCCAAAATAAATGGGTTACCATTTCTTAAATTTGTCATTGTTGGCATCTTATAGTAACCATTTTACAAATTGTCTGGATCCCAAAGTTTGCTTAAAAAATCTTTCAGTTTATTTTATCGGAAAACTATTTTATAAAAAAAATTATATGCAATCTTAAAATTATTTATATACTTTTAATTTTAATTTTAGGGTTAAGGCCATCTATCGTCCCTCTACTAACAAAAATAGTTCATTCTAAACCTTCTACTATGGATTGGCTTCATGTCGTCCCTCTACAATGCAAAAGCATACAAGTGTCGTCCCTCTACAATGCAAAAGCATACAAGTGTCGTCCCTCTACAATGCAAAAGCATACAAGTGTCGTCCCTCCGTCCAATTAAGCTAACGGTCCTGTTTCTTTACCGTTAAGTGGAAACGGTCCTCCCCGGTTAGGCCCTTTTTTAGGTTTTTTTT